TCTAGTGTTTTTGAATGAGTTTCCTATATAATAATGAATAGAATATATATATATATATTATATGTTATATGTTATGTTATATGTTATATATTATATGTATATATATATAATATATATATATATAGTCCCAAATGTATACACGCACTTTGAGTAATTATAAAGACAGTGTTTATTAAAATACATTTCATTTACAAAATTGAGCTATCAGCTGTTAAGGTGTGTATATATAATTTTGGGGCACCCTGTACATATACTTAGTAAGTCTCCTATGATTATTTTTCTTGTACCATTTGGTAGTTCTCTTTTCATCTCTCTGAGTTTGTTTCATGAGCTTTTTATTTCAGAATTATTCAGAGTTAAATGGATAAGACCAAAAGAAATGTCTTTCTTTGGATTTTTTTTAAAAAAGGACAGCCTTTTATTAGATCTAGTCAGACTTGAGGCTTGTTACCATTTGCAAGGTATTGTGCTTTGCCCCTCATTTTTAGGCTCAGCATGTTAACTCATGCCAGGTATCCCCATATACCAAAAGAACATTCAACATCCTTACAATTCAGACTGTGGAATGAAGAGATTTATGCATAGCCACTATCAAGATTCTATAGGCCCAGCCGGTGTGGCTCAGTGGTTGAGTGTTAACCTATGAACCAGGAGGTCAAAGTTCAATTCCCAGTCAGGACACATGCCTGGGTTGGGGACTCGATTCCCAGTGTGGGGCATGCAGGAGGCAGCCTATCAATGATTGTCTCTCATCATTGCTGTGTGTGTGTCTCTCTCTCCCTCTCTCTGAAATCAATAAAATCAATGAAAAAAAATATTTTTCAAAAAAGAAACATATGTCATTATTTCTACCCAGACCCTCATATATTTCTATCAGTGGATCATTATCTATTTCATTTTTCTTTGCAGATGCTGTGAGCTTCCCAAACTCATATCCAGAAAAAAAAAAAAAAGAAATAAAAATACTTGTAGATTCCTTTTTAAAACTTTCTAACCTAAGGAAACTCTTGAGA